GTAAGTCCTTACCTACCTACCTACCTATGTACCTATCTCCCTTTCCTTTTTGTCTCTTATTTTTTGATAGCTAGAAGCCGTATTTGCTTGCTTTCACGATAGATTTTCCCTTTTCCCCTCTCTTTCACTCTCTTACCCTTAAAGGAATTGAGAGAATTTACTCGTTTCTTCTGTGTGTCAATTAATACAACGATCGTCTGAAATCTTTTGAAAATTGATAAAAGCGATGTAAAAATTTGAAGGAGGGATAGATAGGAGTAGGAAGAGACGGAAAGAAAGACAGAGAGAAAGAGGAGAAAGATTCTTCGTTCTTCTCCTGAACGTAATTTCGTGGCGCCCACCCGGCATGATTTATTGCTCGGAGACGCTGAATAAGGAAGAACTTGTGAGAGAAAGAGAACGAGTCCGGCCAAATTGCCAGGACGTTAATTGCGAACGCGCTGTTACGCTTACACACTCGTAGGATATATATCGTCTCGGATATCGCGTTCAACGTACTCCCGACCGGCCGCCATTCCGTTATTTCGCGCTACGCATCCGCCTAATCTACTGACGCATTAAAGTCTCCGAGTTCTTCTTACACTTCGACCGTATATAGTGATTGTGTGCGTGGAGAGATCGAGAGGAAGAGTGAGAGAAAGAGAGAGAGAGAGAGAGAGAGAGAGAGAGAGAGAGAAAGAGAGAGAGAGAGGGAGAGAGAAATTCGAAGGACGGTGTAATCCAATTTCGAGGCTCGTTCGCGACGAACCAACGCGTTGGGACGTCTCCTCGTTGGAATCCTAATCGCAATCGAAGGAGCGAGAGAGAAAGAGAAAGAGACAGAGAAAGAGAGAGAGAAAGAGAGATACTTTTCTTTCGGACGATAAACGTGCCGAAGAACGTCGCCATCTCTCTCTCTCTCTCTCTCTCTCTCTTTCTCTTTCTCTCAAAGCTACCTCCTTTAATAGCCCAGCTTGAGTAGAGCGTGCCTCTCGTCTCGGTTCTAGTTCCCATTACGGGCTTCCGAGGCTCATCGAGGAGGAGGAGGAGGAGGTGGTGGAGGACGAAGGGGGAAGAAGAAAGGGGACGACCGATGCCTTCTCGGAGCGGAACGTTTTCCATATTTTAAGCGAAAAAAGGTGGCGCCCGAGGCTCAGTTAGGGTGCCTTCTCTTCGAACCTCCCTTACTCTTTCCTCTTAGCACGGGAATAACGATAATTTCGTAATATACAGGCTCATCTTCGGAATTGGCTTCAGCGATCGTTGAAGGTGCCGGTAAGTTGGTGGTAGCGTTGGATTAAAAGAGAACGGATGGGATTTCCTACAAGATTCGGCGACGAGGTTCTCCTATCTTACGAAAAAGAGGAGAAGACTGGCGGGTGGGTTAAAGAGAAAAGAGAAGGAACGGTAAGGAAAGTAAGACGCCATGACGAAATTGGCCAGCAAACTCAGCAGAGCCTGTTTACTCTACGTGACGCGATTCGAGACGATTCCGTAGGACGAGAGTCCTCTTTGGGATTTCACTGATCCGTTCTCATCCTCATCCTTATTCACCTTCTCCTTCCTTCTTCTCCTTCCTTCCTTCTTCCTCCTTCCTTCTCCCTCCTTTCTCGTCTCAGTTTCGTCCTCCCAGAATATCCTCCGAGTACTCGAAGAAGGTAGCCTTCGACTTTTCTCCCACCATCGCGAATCCTTTTCGCGCAAGAACCGTAAACGAAAGACGTTCGAGATAATCTTATCGTCTACTCCTGGCAGGGCTCGCGCGAGCCGAGTCGAATGGTTAAAAAGGGTCTTCGAACCGTCCCGTCTCGTCCCGTCCCGTTCCGTTTCGTTCCGTTCCGTTCTGTCGTGTCGCATCTTTACGAATTCCTCAATCGAGGAAACGCGCAACGTGCTCCCTAAATGATATATAATGGCTTCCAAAGTGTTATCTTCGAATTTCGATGAATTTATTATTGTTCGTTTGTTTTTCAATCGATTTTCTGTTTAATAATCATGCGACATGAGCAATAATTTCTAAGATTTAATTTATAATTTGAACGAGCAAAAATTTATAGAAAATATCTCGATCGAACTTTATTCTCTTTTACAATAGAAAAAGAAAAAAGATTAATCGAATGTTTCTTTTTTTTTTTTTTTCTTTTTTTTTTTTTCTTGTCCGAAGAATCTTCGTGTTCTTGCTAATATGATTCGAATATCTTACATATATCCTCACGGTATTTTCGTTCAAATGTCTGTCTCTAGTCGTCGTATGTCAATTACAAGCCGAAAATGAAATTCCTGGGGAGCGTTAATTGGGAAGGTATCCTTTGGCTCTTTGAAATGCAGATACTACATTTCATTAAGTATTCGAAAGTGGTCTCTCTTCCATCGACGAGGTTCGCCGTCGCGTGCGAAGAGGTTAATACGAACTCTCGTCGTTTTCATTCGAAGACGACGAAGACGACGACGATGACGAGGATGACGACGACGAGGAACGCATGAGGATGAACGAAGGGAATCCTTTGAAAATCGATTCTTCCTTGTTAATTGATCTTCTTCAATAAAGGAATCACTCAACATATCAATCTAAACTTTTAACGAAACTCTTATCTTATAGAAAAGATAGAATAAATTCTATCTGATATGAAAGATTTAATAAAAAATATTTAGGATCTTTAACAAAGATATCTTTTGAATAATTCGCTTTTGAACAAATGTCTGTTTGATTTGAGAAGAAATGTCAACGGTAAAGTAAAATTTGTTCACAACGTGTCAAGTATCATTGTCAAGATTCCATTTCCATTCATCGACCAAATCAAAGTTATTAACTCTAAAAGCTTTTGAAATTCTTCTCAAAAATAATTATATATATATATATATATATATATATATATATATATATATATATATATATATATGTATATATTATTGGTTAGAAACCCTCGAGATATTTCGCAGACGTATTATACTTAATGTTCTATTTCGTTTTGAGACTCGCTATTGTCCAAACATCAAGTTGATAAGTTCGAAGGTCCTCTTGTAAGTGCACCCTCTCAGCGAAACAGTAATAGTATGGTGCTGATTCTGATGGCGATAGTTGTAACATCCGCAGACGGTCGTTCTCCTGTCAACTTCCTTCTTCGATGTTGCTACTCCTTCGGGAGTTAGCTCGGATGTAACGCGTTTAATAGAACTTGCCGAGTATCCGTTCCCGATGGAGCGTGTCTTTCACTCTAGTTACCAAGCTTCTCTCGTTAGCTATATCTGGAAGAAAAAGTAGAGGATAAGCATGACGTATTTTCTCTCTCTCTCTCTCTCTCTCTTTCTCTCTTTCTCTATTTATCTGCCTCTCTCTTTCTCCCTTTTCATTTCTCTTTCTCTCTTTTCTTTTTTTCTATCCGTCAACTTTATCCTCTTTTCGTTCTTTCTCGCTAATGCTCTTCTTCTCCTATCTTGAACTCTTATCAACTAGCAACTTCTTCGTCTTTCTCAGGTTTCTTTCTTCTTCTTCTTCTTATTCTTTTTCTTCTTCGTCTGCTTTTTTTCTTCTTTTCTTTTTTTCTTTTTTCTTGCGTCTTTTTTATCCTTTCACCCTTGTAACTTTTACTCTTTCTCTCATTTATATCTTTTTCGTCTCTCTCTCTCTCTCTCTCTCTCCCTCTCTTTTTCTCTCGATGAGATGCGCTCAGGACAGTTAAAATTTTTTTCTCGTTTTTTAATGACTCCCAACAAAAGATAACGAGATGAAGAGATATATAACGTCGTTCATAAAAATTTACCTGATTATCCGTGAGATTGATTCCTTACTTTAGTCGTCTTATCTTATCCTCGGACATATGGAAATAATTATGTTTAGAGATAATGATATCATATATGATATTATATAGTCGAATGAGTAAAAAATACTTGACCTTTCAAGAAAAAATAAAACGTAAATACATTCGGTAGACTACATTTTCTCTTTCTCTCTCTCTCTCTTTCGCTCTCTCTCTCTCTCTTTCGCTCTCTCTCTCTCTCTCTTTCGCTCTCTCTCTCTCTCTCTCTCTCTCTCTCTCTCTCTCTCTCTCTCTCTCTCTCTCTCTCTCTCTCTCTCTCTCTCTCACTTTCTCTCTGTCTCTCTCTTTCGCCCTCTCTGGAAGAAAGAACGAAGAAAGCTAATCTTTGTCTATGGGGATAAAAAAAAGAAAGAAGAAAAAAAAGTTGATATCGATCGGAGGGTGGAGCTTCGTTTATTTTTCCCTCAAAAAGTGGATTACCGCGCGCGACTGATCACGTCGTCGCGTGTAGGTACATACGCGTATAGGTATATATATATATATATATATTCTATGTAGAATCTATATATATATTGTAGAATCTATATATATATATATATAGATTCTATGTACTCTATGTATATATATGTGTGTGTCGGAGACGATCGAAAGCCCTTAATGCGGCACCCCGAATTCGATTACTCCCGGCGAGTTACAGGGTAAGAAACCCTCGCGAAGGCGTCACGGTTCGTTCACCGCGACCGCTGCCCACAGCATACGCTTCTCCCCTTTTTCGCGATTCCGCATCGCGGAGAACGTGTGCTTCGTCGACGTGTAATGCACCGTCGGAAAGACTTAACTCGATTTTCACGTACGTGATCTCTCTCTCTCTCTCTTTCTCTCTTGCTTCTTCGAAGAATGGATCCGCTGAAAGGCAAACTCGATCTTGTACTCTCGTTCCGCACGGTGATTAACTTCCTATCGAGAAAGACCTTGAGTTCTTGAGAAACGAGAGGAATCGTTATCTTTTGCGTAGTCACGTTAAACTCGTTTACAGTCGTCGGCTCGAGAGCCGCACAGACAAAGCTAATGTGTGTATGTATATGTGTGCGGTGAGTGCATGCACCCGCTTGTGTGTGCTAGCGCGTGTGTGGTCAATTTTTGTTAAACTTCGTATAAATTTTCCTAGAGGTGTTATCAATCATATATTATTATCGAACGTGTGTGTGTGAATGTGTATGTGTATATATATATATATATATATATATATATATATATATATAT